ATAATCCTGATGACAGGCCTGATGGTGGGGGCAATGGTGATGGGGATGACCCCAAAGACCCAGATGAGTCACCTGAAGACCCAGTCCTTGCCTTGACCAGAGCTATCCATGAACTTGCAAAATCTAGCATCTCATTCTATGCTAGGACTTCATGTCTAAAGTCTCTTTCTCTTGCAGAGACCTCATGTCCTTTCATTGGCTTCACCTACTCTCATCTTTGTCTTCACTGCTTTTGATTTGGACTGCAAGTTATTCATTCACAAGTTGTAATCATCTACTAGACTACTAGTAGTAGTACACTTTTTCAGTAATCACTACACTACAAAACATGCACTATAGGGCTATCCCATACTACTACCAACTTGTGGTGATTAAATTGGTAGTAGTTTACTAGCCCATTAGCCAATGACCCTAATCAATTACACTTTGTTGGTAATCAAAAATGCTGACTCTAGAGCTATTCTGTACTGCTACTGACTTGTGGTAATCAGATTGGTAGTAGTTTACTAGCCCACTAACCAACAATCCTAATCAAGTTCACTTTCTTGGTAATCAAAAAAGTGCACTCTAGGGCTATTCCATTCAACTACTAACTTGTGAGAATCAAATTGGTAGTAGTCTACTACAACAAACATTAAACTACACTACACTTTTTTGGTAGTCAAAAATGCAGACACTATATAGCACAACACTAATCAGGTAATCAAAAATGCAGACACTACCCAACCAACCACTACATTTTTGGTAGTGAAAAATGTAGAACCACAGGAATTAGTCACAGAATGGTGATGTCATAATGAAAGTTGTAGTGCCTGATCATGAGACCATGAAACTCTGCTTACCTTATCATGAAGTGCAAAAATCCATGAGAGAAATGCAAAATACTTGGAAAATCACAAGTCTTTCAACATATTATGTCATTAGATTGTGATGACATCATAAGTAATGTTATAGCTCCTGACAGGATGATCACAGTGGTGTGCTTGCTTCACCACAATTCACAAAAGTGGGTGAGCTACAGGCTAAAGAAGTTCTACTACTAAATCACTACCAACTCACTACCACCTAGCACTACCTGGTAGCAAGTAACAAGTGAAAATACCAACTGTACAGACTACCAACAATAGCTACCAAGCTCAGCAACCTACATGTGGGTGCCTGTGGGGGACTGTACTGCTGTGATGCTGTGGTGCTGTTGCACTGTGAGTCTGTAGGATGGTGTGGGACAGTGTGGGCCATGCTAGCCATGGGACCATTACACTGTGGGTGACCTGTAACACCCCATGAATACTGTGCTAAAACCAGGAATTTACTGATGCCTACAATTGCAACCTCATGTTCTGTGAACTTGCTCTCTCTTCAGCTCTGGAACTTGCATTTGAAGAGAAGAAAGAAGGTTCTGCAACTGTCAGTTCAGATGCAGAAGATCTAAGTTGGATATTTGGAACTCTCAGATGACTCAGATGTAGAAGCCTAGTGTACAAATGCTGTAGAAAATGAAAATCTCCATTTTTCTATAATTTACTATCACAGGCCCAAGCCCTCTGAAGCCAGGACCAATGCATCACTAATTGCATTTTAGAGTGGGGTAGCTGATAGAAATTTTGCAATCATGCCTACATGTGCAAACACTTGGACTTGATGCAAATCTGCATGCCATATTGATAGATGATGCATGATGTGTGTTAAGAGGTCACACAAAATGTACATTTCTGAGATTCACGTTGCAACAGGGGTAGCTATGGACATGCGATCAAAGGATCGATCGGATTATGAATATGTATGTCGCTACCGAGTCGCGGAGATAATTTACGTCCAGTTCTGTTTAGCTTACAGACCTACATATTGCTTGGCTTTGTCTGTTATCCGTGATGTGCCGCACGACTCCAGTGTCTCGAGCGAATAAAATACTGCTGGAATAAGAAAAACACGCAGAGTACTACCGTCTCCTCATCAACGATACAACACGACGCTGTGCTCTGATGGTGCAATGAAAGTACCCACGAATGGGTGCTTGGTAACATATGCTATTATGCCCCCTTCCCCTCTTCTTCCAACACCGGGCGCCTGCGACTTACACACTCGCAGTTCCATCACGATGTTCTCTCCCCTCACCACTCTCTAGGCTACCTTCTTCATACACGACATCACGAGCCACATCTCGAGTACGCTCCTGCTCATCCGAGGCACGCGGACTCTCTAGTCCGCGCAACCCGAGACCCGGAAGGACGTCCAAAGCGGATGAACCGCGATCGTCATTACCGCCACCGTGGTTGTACGTCCGAGAAGTTGGCTCTGGTTCGCTTTCGGGTCCATCGTCTTCACGCGGGGTGCGTTTCCAGTCTTTTTCGCGGTCGTTTGCTCTGCCTCGCCCAGGCCGTCTTTCGCGTCCTCTCCCCCTCTCGCTTCTTCTCTCCATCTCCCTCTCTCCATCCCTCCCTTCCCTGATGGCATCTCTCGTTTCCCTCGCCATTTCTGTGTCCCTTGTCGTACCGCTCACCCTGCCGTACCCCTGTAACGTCTTCACGATCGCGCAAAAATAAACGAGGCCCAAGAAGAAAAAGGCTGAGATGAGCACTCGGGGGCCAATTGCTGCGTTGGGGCTGAGTGGGGAAGGTGTGACTGGATCGGCTGTGGATCCGGAGTGCCATACGAAAGCGAGGATAGAGACGATGAAAAACATCATGGACCTGCATATATGCGTGATGAGAAAGGGAGAGGAAGGGAAGAGAGAGGGGGAGACGCACCAAGCCAGCCATATCCCGGGCAACGCCAGCATTACCCAGACGTTCCACAAAATGAATGTTGTGGTTCTCTGTGTCTCCTGCGCCCACCGCGTGGCCTTGTACATGCTTTTCATGGTCGCGAATCGGATGATGTATACGCATCCGTACAAGAGGGACATGAGTGCGCAGGTGAGCGAGAGGAGTGCTGTCGTGCGTACGAGGGGGTCGTAGGACATTTCTTGGTTTTGGAACATGGATAGGATGGCTCTAAGAAAAGGTGTGATGAGATGGATGTGAGACGCATAGAATGTCACTTACGAGAGTAGTAGTGCGGAGACGATGTTGAGCGTCTTCCATTCTCGGAGGAGGGAATCGATGAAGGACTCCCAGGAACTCTTGAACCTGACCAGTGCAGGACCTACGTTTGCCGTAGTCCAGTCGTCCGAAAAAGGTAGACCGTGATCGTGATGATATACATTAGGCGTCTGTGGAATGGGGCTCATTCTTGCACGTCGATCCCAGGTACGGTTGCTGGCTTCACATGCACGGAGTAACCTGTCGATATCTGGCTGGCTGACTTCGGCTTCTTCGAAGAGCCTCGCGATGCGCGAGAAATACAAGGAAGGGAGTCGTAGCATTAGGTGTAGGTATACTTGTCTTGGGAGCGTGTCTGTGATGAAATCCTTCGCGCGCTGAGCGTGTTTACGGATGCGGTCTCTAGGATTCGGACAGGGGAAGCAACAGAAAAAGAGGGATTCTTCGCACGCGACGGGGTCGACGAATGGGCGATGGCCCTGTTCGACGTCTGGACTGTTATATAACGAGAACCTGCGAAACCGCCTGCTGAAGGGGTCTACTGGTACGAAGGGCGTTTCGCGTTCACGTTCTTGGCGGTGAAGTCCCCACTGGAGTATGCCGCGGATGGGCGAGGTCGGTCGTGAGCGTGCTGCAGACCTTGGCGGGGAGTCGATCAGGCTGGGTGGTTTGCGTGGTGACACGGTATTTGGGGCATTGACGTTGACACGTAGAGGAGATGACGAGGATGGGGAGGGACGAGTGGGGTCTGATGAACGCGTGTCTCTGAGGAGTGGGTGGTGGAGTTGAGAGTGGGGTGTGCGGGTGTTGGTGGGATATCTGTTGGGCGAGTCTGAGGCTGTGGATGGAAAGGGGGTCGACGAGGCCATTCTTGCTGGGTATTCTTGCAAGTCTTGAGTGGTATCGATGGTATTCCGGTGGTCCCCTTTGCTCTGGTGGTACTCCGGGGGAATGCAACGGCAGCCTCCCCCCTCCGACGTTCTTAGTCGGACTTAAATAAGGCGGCTGAACGGCGCCTTCCAAATATATCCAGCTAGGGGCATGTGTATGAGGGCGTGACTAAGTGTGTCACGGCGTGACCTCATCGACCAACCGCAGACACTCAGTCGTCATCAAAAAATTCGAATGGACATTTTCGAAGCATGAATATACACCACGACCTGCGTGTCTCTCTTTTTTTTTATTGTTCTAGTTGATCCTCATTCTTATCGCGATGGAATGGCATTCGCTGAAGTCATCCATTACCTGACTTGTATTTGGAGTTGGTGATGGATCTGGGTGGATGAGCCATCCAAGGTCGACCAGCTGGGAGGATTCAGTGGCGACGGGGAGGCGGCGTGGTAGGGAACAGCCAAGGCCAAACACGACCAAACCAGGGTGGTCCCTCTGTCAACAACAGCAGACTTTGCAGCGAGGTCACCCGAGGCCGATTAAAGTTCCGTTGCATAACAGCCCCCCGAGATGTCACGTGACATACCGCCGGCATCTTCTTGGCGGCGTCGTTCTTCCGTGTTTTGTACCATGAAGGTCATCCAGTTAGGTAGAGCAAGGATGTCATGTTGGTATCCTTGTTCACAATGAGGGTTTGTGAGGCGTGTGTACACGCAGTTTTCATTCGAGCTGTATGACACTTTGTTCAGGTACGGAACAGAACCATAGAAGCACCGAGGCAGCAATGGCCCTTCTGATTTTTCTTTTCATTAAGCAACGAGTGTTAATAGATTGGCGGTTATCTGTTATCAATGGCCAAGTATGACCTTATTTGTTCTAGTATGATCATTTGGAATGTCACGACTGTTCAGCGGCGTTTTCTAAGATGGAAGAAGAAGGCGGAGACCCGTTGATACCACCAGGAGGGACACCAGAATACCCTCAAGATGTTTAAATACCCCCAGGACAGTAACCAACGAAAATAATATGGCCTCAGGATCGTCGACCACCTGTCCTCCGAGTCTATCCCCAGGCTCAAACTTACCTTTCAGACTCCCCAACAGTCCCGCACGTCACACCTCCTCACCCCTTCTGCTCCGTCAGGATGCCACTCCCTCCTCTTCAAGTGGTCTACGTATCCATATCCCAACTATCTCCACCGCATCACAGTGCAAACAACCGGACTTGCAGAGATCACCAATCTCGCCCACATACAAGATTTCCCGGTGGGGACATCACCGCCAGGAACCACCGTTCATACCTGTAGACCCCTTCAACCAGGGACTAGATATCGAACAGAGTCAGTCGATCCGGCCACGTCTCCCCTTTTTTTTGCTTCACCTGTCAAAATCCTATAGAACCAATTTGTAAATATGGGGCGAGGGATTGTCTCACAAATATGCTCAGGCAGGCATATCTGCTCTTGATGCTGGGGCTTCCCTCCTTGTACTTCTCGAGGATTGCAAGGGTCTTCGAAGAAGCCGAAGTTAGTCAGCCCAATATCGACAGGTTGATCCGTGCATGCCAAGCCAATCAGGATCGGCATGCGAGGATGAGCCCCATCCCACAGATGGCCAATGTATATCGTCACGATCATGGTCTACCGTTTTCAGATGACTGGACAACGGGAAATGAGAGTCAGCAGCTGATCAGATTCAAAAATTCATGGGAGTCGTTCATTGATTCTCTCCTCCGAGAATGGAAGATGCTCAACCTCGTCTCCGCACTGTTACTGTCGTAAGTGATTATCACATGTATGTATGTGTTACACCCATTTTATCACATTATCTCTTAGAGCCACCCTGTCTATGTTCACGAACCAAGAAATTGCCTGCAACCCCGCCATATGCTCCATGGCACTGCTCTCGCTTACCTTCGCACTCATGTCCCTCTCATACGGGTGCATATACATCGTCCGATTTGCGACCATGAAAAGCATGTATAAGGCCACAAGGTGGGCGCAAGAAGTGCAGGGAACAAGTACAAATATACTTTGGAACGTCTGGATAATGCTGGCATTGCCTGGGGTGTGGTTGGCTTGGTACATGATCATGCTCTCTTCTGCCCCCCTCTCTGCTTTCCCCTTTACTTCTCATGCCGCATACACGCAGGTCCATGATCCTTTTTATTGCCTCTATCCTCGTGTTCGTATGGCGCTCCAGATCCACAACTGATCCATCTACTCCTTCCTCACTCCCCCCAACCGAAGCGTACACTACTAAGACGTTTGTTTCATTCTTTTTCTTCATGGGCGGCATCTATTTTAGCGCCATCGTGAACACGTTACACGGATACGGGAGGGTAAAGGCAGGGGAAGCGGTGGCAGAGGCGGCAGCGAGGGAAACGAGAGATCCCATAAGAGAAAGAAGAGAAAGCAGAGATGCAGACCATGAGATGGAGATGGGGGCAACAGGCATAAAGGAGAAAGGGCATGAGAGAGCACTCGAACAAGACCAGAAGCACATCCCACATGAAGACGACGGACACAAAAGCGAACTGTCGTCAGCTGTCGATGGCAGTCACCGCGGTTCATCTTTGTTGGATGTCCTGCCAGGTCTTTCATTGGGTGGGTTAGGCGGGATGAGACCATGTATGTCGGATGAGCAGGAATTGGAGCACACACGGGATGTGGTTCATGATGTAGTGTATGAGGGAAGGAGCCCGGGGAGTGTCAAGGGGAAAAGTCGTGATGGTGCTGTGGGTGCATAAGTCGCAGGGGCATACATACATTATCAAGTGCATTTATTCAACTCATGAGTATACATACCATCGCATTGTATCGTATATCCAGTGGACATTCGTCAAGATACCCTGTATAGTACACTATGTCTTGTTCTTGCTCCAGGCACATTTAATATGCTCGAGACGCTCGAGTAACCATGTGACGTGCGAATTTGAGAACATACATGTGTCAACGTAATGAGTGAGCAAACTTCGAGAATAACCTTGGGTGGGATCCCTGAGAAATGATTCAGAGGTGACCTGGTGATCAGTGATAGGTGAATTCTAAGGTTTAACGAGGTTTATGATATTAGAGGGTATCGTAGGGCTGCCGTTCCAGGGCACGGAGCCGTCTTGGTCTGGAAAGCATCTTCTGTGAGCCATGATTTCGCCGGCTCAGACGCTCTGGTAGCATGGAAAATCAGGCTAAATGACGAATGATCGAAAAAGAGGAGGATACGGTTTAGATTGCAGGTAAGAAAATGAGGATTTCAGCCATTCTTACGAATACTCAACATTTGTGCATCCAAGGCTTCCTGTGGTTTTCGTCTTCGTGATGGTTTGTAAGCTTGGAAGTCAAGTTTTTTCCATTCCTTCTTTCTGACCTGCGTAGCTACCTTCATTGTGGACGCCTGGCCGTCGACCATTCATGCTAACAGTTGCTGTATGATGGATTCTAGTCATTTACGTAATGCCACGGTCACAATGTGACGTAACTTCATCCAGGCTGTGGCGGGGTTGCGTGGCCAGTCGACCGACCGCAGACAGTCGAGTGTAATGCAAAAAAGGTCAACAAAAATTCGTTTGCACATTTTTCGAAGGTTGAATTTGTACCACGACGACCCCATGAAGCTATCCTCATTTTCGGTGTCTCATTTTTTTCCTGTCTAGTTGATCCTCTCTGACCACGACGGGGTGGAATTGCATTATACCACCGTATGCATCCGCTATCTGACTCGTATTCCGTGGTGGGTGATGGATGGCGGTGGATGGGCCATCCAAAGGGCGACCAGCTGGGAGGATGAAGTAGGGACGGGGAGACGAGGGAGGTGGGGGAACAGCCACAGCCAAACACAACCAAACACAGGTGACAAACACAAAGACGGCTCAGTCGACGACGACAGCGACAACAACGTCAGCGTGGATGCATCCTCGTCGTCGCGGAGGGGACAGACTCACAATAAAACTCCCACCAGCAGGCCATCGCCAACCGGATGATAATAGCATGCTGTCGCCCGCGAGTGGCTCAGAGTATCACGACAGCAGTGAACCCGTCGAAATGGACATCAACCAGGAGGAACCAGAGGAACAACAACCAGAGCCTTTCACTCAGACAAGAGGTGGTCGTCGTATCAAACGCCCTGACTACTACGAGTCGCAGTCGGAGCAGGACCCAAGCGACCTCTTCAACAACGACAACCACGTCATAAACAACACCTCTCGACGCAGCAACCACCAGGATGATGACGATGAGGAGGACCAACAACCTCGACGCTCTACACGCTCAAAGCCAAGACGTGGGTCCGGGCTTGCTGATTTCATCGTTTCTGATGAGGAAGATTCCAAGAAATACCGTCTCCGCGAGAGACGGAAACCACCTACGCCACCTCCTCCAAAGACGTCAAGCGGTCGTGTAAGCAGACAGCCCCAGCGCTTCATCCATTCCGTCGCCGCTCGAGGAGAACAACAGAAGCGCCCCACACGAAAGACACGGCGCACAGCAGCCGAGCTCGACGACGGCTATGTCGACCAAGGAACAGACGGCTCGTCCTCAGAGGCATCTTTAGCCAACGCACCACGCACATCCTCAGACGTTGAACTGGACCAAGACGCAGAGGGTGAACCAGACCCAGACGCCGAAGGCGAAGGCGAAGTGGAAGTGGAGCAAGAAGACGGCAGACCTTACGCGTTCCGTCGACGCACCAAGATAAACTATGCCGTGCCACCCCCTCTGGAAGAACTTAAAGCTCCTCCTCCTCCTAGGAATCGTACAACGGGCGGAAGAGGCGGAAAGAGGCGCGGCCCAGGGTGGAGCGCTACGGGAGCAGAGCTTGGCAGGTGGATGGGTGTGCATGACGACTCGGTGCGTTTGCATGGACATTTCTCTATCCTCACGTATCGAGCCCACTTTAGGACTCGGACGTTCCTCTCAGAACTCCCAGGAGGAACCTGGGCGAACGGCAGTATTTGCAACTGCTGTCTACAACTAGTATAGCTGTACACCAACGCCCCGGTAGTCTGGATACCAGATCCGTCTAATGAGGCAAAGCAACTCCATAGGCAGGCTGGTATCCAGACTATGTCAGTGGTTTGTGGGAGTGCCTCTCTGCTCGAGGGGCTTGACCTCGGAAAACACGTTGAATAGAGTGGCTCGACAAATGGCAGTTTACACGACGGTGGCATCTGCATTTCAACTTTTGCTCAGCCCCATGATGGCCCACGTACTCCATCTGAAGTAATCATCAACAATCTTCCAGACAGTGATGGACTGTGAAGTGGAGGGCTACCTGGAAGTCTCGAAGGGTAGGAAGTTATAATCGTTTAGTCGTTTGTCACATCCACGTCCGTGTAGGTGCAAGTACCATATTGATATTAGCAACAGGTATCACACCCTATTCACCCGGAAGACGCTTCGTCGTACCGCTGGCACCTCCGAGTGGCCAGCGTTGCCAGTTCAACCGCACTCCAATGGTACAGGCCTCTTGTTATATTGTCGCGATACACTTAGGATGGGCGGTATGTACGACGATACAAAATTCTCTGGTGCGAAGGAATCAGATTGCCGCGAGATGTGTGGGTCACACCGTCGAAGGACCATTTCCTCCCAGTGCATCTCGTCGTGCTCCTTCTGCGTAAATAGGTCAGAAACTTGTTCCGCTCATAGCATTTATGAACCTGAGTGCATGTCACTTGGTGCTCAAATAGTCATTGAACCTGAGCGGAAATACGCGATTAGCAACACCCTTCGCAGTGAACGTCTTCCTGCGGAAATATCCAGGCCTGCAGTCTAGCTTTGCCCTCGGTTGCTCACATATTGACATTGACCGGTGACGCCTATGAGGACACTACTTAGGCGAACAGACTGAGGGACTCAGAAAATTACCTGATCATGTGATGTGTTGGAGATTGCTGCGATCGCCTGCATACAATCTCACCGAGATCTAGATCTTTCAGGAAGTTTCTTTTCCGCCATGTGGCGTGACCACTATTCCGGATCCGTTGTTTCTCGCTTTTTTATTATTACTGTCCAGCCTTCCCATGGTAACAGGGTCGTACACGTGCGTGATAGGTCTCCCTAAATTTTATCGTATTTGATCCGATTTCCAGCACCGATCTGTGGGGATGCTGTGTTTTACGATACTCGAGCCCTCCAAAGAGCCAAACATGCGCCTGGCAAGGTGCAGGGCAACGCGCTTCGCATCAAATGGGTCACATTTCAGTTCCCCGAGTGGATTCTTCGAGACTCATACTCTCAAGGGACAATCAATATCCTCATGGAGCGTAAGCCCATGTATTGCTTGACACTAATAGTATCGAGGAGATGCGGCAAGTGTGGTAATATCAAGTACTGCCCGTTTGTAGGGGGAGGATTGATGAACAACTCTTACGTATTCATCTTACACCTGGACCCATATTGATGGCGATTCGTTCTTCAGAGACAGGTAGACTCTGAACGTCATAATCTACATCTGGAGTAAGGTCCATCCGTTCGCCAGTTCCTGCCTAGATTATTATGTTCATACCTGTCTAACTGACATCTAGATCCTTGAATCACCCTGCAACGGTCGAAGAGCAAGAGAAAATTATTCGCACGCGATTAGATCAGTGACAATATATGAGGAGTCTAAGGCTGCAGCTTGCTGTGAGCGACCTGTCAGAAGCCGAGGCCGAGAATGACTATCCTGTTGCATTGTCAGGTAATGGTTCTGTTCTTAATGGCTGTGCTCCTTGTGACAGCTTCCACGACCTACTGACCCTAATAGATGTCGAACTCCCCTTGCCATCATATCTGTGTCGCAACCGAGGAATCTGGTACTCGGACCACTCCCAGTTCCCCGTAATGGATCATTCGAGATTTGATGCTTACATTGTTCACCTTGTTCCAGGATGATGTCAATATAGAAGGTAGGCTGGGGTAACCTTCGCGATTTGCTCAATCGTTCTGTTAAGACACTTATGTGACTCACCACCAGTGGCTGGGCCTCATAAGCGTACGGCATCTAGTGAAACCAGGCATGATGGCTCCATTTTCTGCAGCTGTGCAGTCGCAGGGAATCACCACCAGTGGCGGGCCTCATAAGCGTTCAGCATCCGGCGATACCAGGCATGATGGTCCCATGTTCTGCAGCTGTGCACTCGCAGGGAAACCCAGGGTCAGGATTCAGATGGAATGAGTAATAGATGTTCCATGTCTATCGTAAGTTTGCCCTTAGTTATTGTCATGCAGCCACTTTCCATGGTAGGAGGGATGCTCGGCTAGGTCGGCGGCCTCGGAATGTAGCCTGGTGACTGACCTGTTGATTCGAGGTCCTTTTTTTTTGGTGTCTCGTGGCAGGCTTGTCATTAGGCTACTTTGAACGCGGCTACATGACGGAGGATGTCGTCGCCAACGTCTAGTATTTGCATTCATTTCGAACTCAAACCTCTTTTTTTATAGCCCGTAGCTCGATGAGATCGATCTTGCCTGCCTGCTGGTTGTATAACATCATGGCACCGCGTGGGTCTTGCACTCTCATGATAAGTCCAAACACGATAGACATATTAGTCACTAGCAATAGTGTGGCTAGGATTGGAAATATTATTCAACCCTCGTGCACCAAACTACCTATCACCCCACCCTCCAATGCCCCAAAATTTCAGTGGCGTAGTGGATATAAGAGAAGATAGCTCGCTTAATTCCTGGTCGTTGAAGTCCGCCATCCTGTCTTCCAGTCAATGTGCGGGCCATGTCCTCCCTAGACGACAGAAAACATGATGGTCCAGAAACCAGGTGCGTTGCCTGCACGGTGCAGTACTTGTTCTAGCTGATGCGGTGATGTAGTGTGTCCTACCCTTGGGTCAGTGCCCTCGGTCTCCCCCAAACTTCGGCAAATAATCACAATCCAATTGTACGTGTCGTTGAAGCTGCGAATATCGGGTGAATGTTGACATTTTTAAACGAACCAGTATAACGATTGCCCACCTCAGCCTTGCTTGTACGATCTGGGTGATGGAAATGAATGCTTGGATTTCATCACATGCGGGACTGCGCCCGGACATTTCAGCGCTGTCCATGGTGTCAAGGACATGGCGCGTAACGTTGAGATCACTTGCGGTTGGCAAGATTGTGGGTCTCTGGTGAAGCGGCACAACTTCATGCGCCACGTCCGTGAGATCCACTTGGGCCATGGGCGGAGAGCAAACTAAAACTGAAGTACCGGTAACTCTTGGGAGCGAGCCGCTGCTGCAGAAGTTCCCTGCGCACTCGGACTACATGGTAATGCCATATAGATGGATGCAGGGGAGGGCCATGGCGCGAACAAAAATGCATGTTTTAATACATACAATAGAGTCTGAGAAAATAGAAGAATACATGCAGGTCTTGTTTTTTTTTGTTTTTTTTTGACAAGGGTGCTGTGCAGTGTTGTATTAATCGATGAACACTGAACCGTTACTCCACGTGACTAAAAAAGACGGATCGAAGCAGCCTTGTTATCGATCGACTACAGTATATATTTTCTTGGATAGACCGATCCATCAATTCACGATTGGAGCATAGTTGCAATGGGGGTTACTGACTGCAGCTCGGAAAATGCGTGGACTTAGTGGACACAGTTTCCGATAGACTGCAAAAATTAACCAATCTTGAGCACTTGAGCCCCAGAATGGTGTTAGTGTATATAGAATATCAGTGAGTGAAGATATAAACTATGATTCCCCTCTTTTTTTTATTGGGATATACCTAACATCCCCTACCCCCACCCGTCCCCCTCCCCCCCTTTCACGATGGCTATAGTTGGTAGGTTTTCACACACCACATTAGTCCCCATCAGCATCGGTACACCACCAACTTGGTGGCCAATCTCGAGTCACCAAGCAAGGTTAATAAATGTCCTAGTGTTTGCCTGCAGTCTGGATCTAAACCTATCTCATACTAGAAGCCAGCGACATTGCAGGCGGGCAGCCACCTCGTTGACAGCATGCTACGTGTAGGAGGCTCTGTCCTATAGACATGCATGCCGCCGCACTCAGCTATTTCCCGAGTCAATAAAATCCCCCTTGAATAAGAAACACAATAAACGTTTTACTATACAAGGTATCTCGACAACCATTCCATGAGTATACAATGTCATGCCATGCTCTGATGGTATAAAAAAAGTATTCACGAGGTGGTGAATAAGGGTGCTTGGCAATGTATAGCATAGCCCCCGAGACATACATGCCCACAGTGCCATCATGATGACCTCTTCCCTTGCCGTTCTCCAGGCTACCTTCTTCATACATGACATTACGAGCCACAACCCGAGTATACCACTTCTCCTGTCCCAGCTCATTCGATGGCTAGCCACTCACTACTCCATCTCACACAAAGTCCAATGAAGATACATCGTGGTTGTATGTCCAACAAGCAAGGTCCGGTTCGTTTTCATGCCCATCATCGAATTCACAAGTGCATTTCTTGTCTTTTTTCGCAGTCAATCACTCTGCCTCATCAGGTCCATCCTTTGCATTCTCTCCCCCTCTCGTCCATTCCCTCCATCCCCTGTTTTCCTTGCTGCTGGCTTTGTATCCCCTGTTACTGCATTGACCCTCCTGTTTCCCTGCAGCGTCTGCACAATTGCACCAAAACTGCGGCTAGTTGTTACAAGTCGTTACATTGCCGTTTAGTGAATTGATCGACAGTGGATCCAGAGTGCCATACAAAGGCCAGGATAGAGGAAATTAAAAAAAAAAAAAAGCGGTCCTGGGTGTATGATGAGATGGGGGAAAAACGACACAGACCAAGCCAACCACACCTCCTGCAAAGAATGTAGTTTCAATGTCATGTATAAATGTATTGGGGCCGTATCTGTGAGGGAACCCCTCGCACATTGTCATGGTCGTTCTTCAGAGCAGCCATGTTAGGAGCTTGACAGCAAGGGGAGGGATGGGGTGGTGCAAAAGAGGTCACCGGAATGGACCAACCAAAGTGCATCTCAGAAGATTTGGGAGTGAGGTATGCATCCGAGAATGTTGACGGGGTTGGTACCCACCTAGATAATAGGGCTAAGGGTACCGACAACGAAGTCACTCGGTGCTGCGGATGTTATCCAGGAGTAGTCTCGCCAGTGTTACCTGGTGACTTATCTTCGCCTGTTCACCGGACTCTTTCACTTCGCATACTCGAACCATTTACTTGGAGGTGTCTGAAGATGGGTCCATGCCAATAATCTATTGTTGGCAATATCTATGAGGCAGTGCAACAGTCTGGTCACCTAACTACGGTCAGTAGGTATGGTAGTTCGATCGGCAG